AGTCGCTGATAAGGAAAAAAAAACGCGTGCTGTCCCAGTCGTCCTCCGCCCATTTTAAAAGATGAAGAATGTCTACATTTTGTGGTAGAGAAATGTCTCAGCTTTGCCTCGTATGAGCGAATCAGGGGACCAAGTCCAGCTGTTCCTATGTGACTGTCACAGGGTACCTTCTTATCTCGAAAAACAGATCTGTCTTGTTTTTTTTCTTTTCTTCTTCTTCTTCTTATTATTATTATTATTATTATTATTTCTTTGATTTCTGGCGTTTACACATTTCTTTCCGAGTTCCGCCCAGGGACCTAAGGTTAGAAATGGCGTCATGACACTTTCCACTGACAGAAAAAAAAAGAATTAAATTACATAGATAAAGCCCTTCGTAAGGTGTGGGCTGTACTTGTCAGAACAATTTTTTGTATCTCCTTGAGGTATGGACTTCCAGGAATCCCTTCAATTAGTCTACTGCAATCTTTTCCAACCAGTCCTAGGGCTCCAACTACAACAGGGATTGTTGATGTTCCCATATGCCACATTTTCGAGATTTCTATTTTAAGGTCCTTGTACTTTGACAACTTTTTAAATATCTTCAAAGATACATTGCAGTCAGCAAGGACTGCCATATCAATAAGGAGGCATCGTTTTTGTTTGTGGTCTTTAATAACAATATCTGGCCGGTTGGCCTTGATTGTTCTGTCAGTGTTTATTGTGTAGACCCATAGAATTGTAACAGGTCCTATCTCCGTAACCGGGTCTGGGTGGTGTTCATACCAGTTTCTTTCAGTTTCCTTCCCGTAGAAGTTGCAGATTTTCTAGTGCAGATATTGGCCCACTCTGTCATGCTGGGTTTTATATTCAGTGGGTGCCAATATCGTGCAACCTGATACAAGATGATCAATCGTTTCTGGATATTTATCACAGAATCTGCATTTTGGGCTGACACAATATTTTAGTATATGTGCTTGATAATTCCTAGTTAGCAAGCATTGGTCCTGCGCAGCAAGGATATTATTATTATTATTATTATTATTATTATTATTATTATGTGTGTGTTGTGTTTCCTGGCTTCTATCCTTTAGTGCCGGATCCAAACCATGGTCCTTAGGCCCTAATAGGAGAATTGTCATTCAAATGTTAGCACTTTTCTTAGTATATGGGATGTTCCGAGTAGGGCGATTTTGTGTGCAAATCTTCCACACATCCTATTCATCTCAAACTTCAGGTCCGCGTATTTGAGAAATTTCTCGATAATATTAATGGAGATATTTCTCTCAGATGCTATTGCTCTGTCAATAAGCAAACAGTTCCTGAATTTCTTGTCTTTTATGTTATTACCAGGTCTGTTGGCTTCTATTTATCTGTCAGTTTGAATTAACATGTACCAGGAGATATTTACATCGTTATTTTGGGTAACTGTAGCAGGTTGGTGTTCATACCATCTTTCAGTGGTTTCGATTTGGTGCTTCTTGTATATCTTCCAATGTACATACGTCGCTAGCTTGTTATGTCAGGGGGTATATTCAGTTTTTGTTAGTTTCGGACATCCTCAGATAATATGGCCGACAGTCTCATCATATTTTTCGCAGAGGCTTGTGACGTCATATTTTCTGTTCTTTACCATTGAATCACTGGACAAAAGAATATATACTGTAATAATGGTAATGGTGATATTTGCCATTTCTTTATAAGGAAACAACTTCCGATTAAAACAATTTTTAGCAAACATTGATCCAAGGGTGTATCAAAAGAACGGATTATTCCCATGACGCCGCTTTTTACATTCCTTCAATCTTCGGTTTATTGTTTATTGTTTTAAAACGCGATAATTAAGATTGTTTTAAAAATCTAAACATATGAAAGTGAATTTATACATTTGCTTTGTTCTTGAGAATTGAAAACAAAAAAAATTCTAGGTATTATACTATGTTTATTTACATTATTTATTTATTAAATTAATTAAATTTATTTATTTACATTATTTATTAATTAAATTGTTTATTTTACATTATTTTTATTTATTAAATTGTTTACTTACATTATTTATTTATTAAATTGATTTTTACATTATTTATTTAAATTGTTTATTTACATTATCTATTAATTAAATTGTTTATTTACATTATTTACTAATTAAATTGTTTATTTACATCATTTATTTATTAAATTGTTTATTTACATTATTTATTTATTAAATTGTTTACTTACATTATTTGTTAATTAAATTGTTTTTTTTACATTATTTATTTATTAAATTGTTTATTTACATTATTTATTAAATTGTTTATTTATATTATTTATTTATTAAATTCTTTATTTACATTATTTATTAATTAAATTGTTTATTTACATTATTTACTAGATTGTTTATTTACATTATTTATTCAGATATTTACATTATTTATTTATTAAATTGTTTATTTACATTATTTATGCTGTTCAGGAAAGCATACATGTCTGTTCCACAAAGAAGCAGTTCCTGTCTCTGTGGAACGTTCTTCCTACATTTAAGAAACGGTAGAAGCGCTGTGTGTTCTAAGAGTAAAGATCTGGACTGTTGGGACTGAATGAAGGATGTAATCTGAAAATTTGGCCTGGAAATCTCGATAGAATAGTGATGGACTTGCGATGGATCTGTGAGAAAGTGGTTGCAGAGTAGAAAATAAGTCTCCTTTCCTCCCACCTACAAGACCCTATAAACGATTTTGAACTCTATCAGTGGTGGAGAGGCTTTGGCTTAGATCTTGAAGCAATACTCCATTGAACTCTTTCCTAATAAATAATCTAACCTCTGACCTGAACCCTAATCCTAAGCATAGATCCAAAAGAGATGTTCATGCATTTTATCAAATGTCATACTGTTTCGCCTACATTGCAGTTATTTCAATAAATCTTGCAATAAATAAAAACAAATCTATAGATTTGTAATTTATCTTGTTTTGAGAGACACACATCAGGGCTCTATTTTTTCCGCTTTTAGAAGTTATTTATTTAATTAATTTTCTTTTTAAGAAAAAAAAATACTGGTCCGGAGAAATTTACTTTAGGTTTACTCTCGAGAAACTCCATGGCTTGGTGGTTTGTTTTCGACGCAAGAACAGAGATAAAATAATATCGATTTTTGTGGTAGTGGAAAACGGAGATGAAGGGAAACAAGCATTAAATTGATAATAAAAAGAACAAATAATAAATAAATAAGCATCTGAATACACACACACGCACACACACGCACACACACACACACACATATATATATATTATGTGTGTGTGTGTGTGTGTGTGTGTGTACAGAGGGATGGGGTGCTAAACGTTCGGATGCCAAATGCAGTATAACTAAACATCGGAATTCAATTGTAATCCCATTTTGGTCTGCTCGAAAAAAAAAAAAAGATTTAAGCCACACATACGTATAAACTGAGGTCTCATGGAGTAATGGAGAGAGGCTCGGACTGAGGAATCGGAAGGCCCAGTTGGAATTCCAGTTGATTTTCTTACTTTCTCTTACAGATCATCCTCATGGCTTGTCTTCGCAAAACGACGTTAAAGTGGGATTCTGTACACGTCGTTTTCGTTTGTCATTGATAAGTCCAACACGGGACAGACGATGGGAAATATACATTAAATTAATATACGCCTGAACACACGCACACACAAAACATATGCACACAAACTCACATTTACACACACACACACACACACACATACACACACACACATATATATATATATATATATATATATATATATATATATATAAAGGAAATGGACAAAGTCCGACAATTATTTTAAGACATTTTTTATGTTTATACGTTCTTTTTTATAAATACAAATATTTAAGTAAATGCTATATGACGGTTCTGGAGAGGATACAAGTTCAATTCCTGTCGGAGGACGCATATTTCATACGCACGCACGCACGCACACACACACTGGCACATGTATATGTGTGTGTGTTTGTGTGTGTGTGTTGGTGTGTGTGCATGTATATCTACAGAGGGATGGGGTACTAAATGTTCGACTGCCAAATGCAATATAACTAAACATCAGAATTCATTCGTGATCCCATTTTGGTCTGCTGGAAAAAAAAGATTTAAGCCACATACGCGTATCAACTGAGGTATGATGGCGTAATGGATAGAGGCTCGGACTGAGGAATCAGAATGCCGAGTTCGAATTCCAGCTGTTTTCCTTACGTTTTCTTACGTCATCATCCTCATGGCTTGTCTTCGCAAAACGAAGTTAAAAAGGGATTCTGTATACGTCTCTTTCATGCACGTTTGTCATTGATAAGTCCAACGCGGAACAGGCATACAATGTCGCAGTAGTTGCGGCTTAAATTCTGGGCTCGATCACATAGCTTTCTTCCTCCGCCTTTTGTTCCTGAAAGCGACTCTGGAAGTATTTTCAAAGAAGAAAACGTGGAAGTATTTTCCAAGAAGAAAACGTGGTTGGTGGTGAGACGCCAGGAGTCGCGGTCCTCAGCTAGGGTTGACCATTGGTAATGGTTGATGTGATAGGCACCAAAGGATTTTTGTCAGGTAATCCTTGAATCGATTCGTTGGTGCCCCTCTTCCGCGAACGCCATTGGAGTGCTCGCCATACAGTAAAATTTTAGGCAGGCGATGATTCTCCATCCTGGGAACATGTCCAGCCCTGCGTAGCTGGGACTTCAGCAGCATGGCCTCAAAGCCATCATTTCAGGGACTTTAATATGAATGACGAAATCACTTCAGTGGATGTTAAGAAGTGTGCGGAGGCAGTGCTGGTGGGACCGCTCGAAGAGTCCCAGGTGGTGTTGGTATGTGACCCATGACTCTGAGCTGTATAGAAGAGTGACGAGGACGTAACTCTGTACACTGTGATCTTAGTGCCTTTCTTCAGGTGTCTGTTGTACAACACAGTTTTGTACAGTAGGCTAAATGAAATTCTCACCCTTGCTGGTCTGCTTTCGACCTTCTTGTCGATTCTATCATCTGACGTGATCGAAGGTAGGTAAACCGATGGACTGCTTACGGTCAAATCACGCTGAAAACACCGGTTCTCGTTCGATCACCGAAGTTAAGCATCGTAGAGCCAGGTCAGTACTTAGATGGGGGACCGCTTGGGAACACCCGGTACTGTAAGCCCCCCAAAGTCCAACCCTTACCTCACAGTCAGTGTCAGAGCTATGCCGCCCGGAACTTCGTTCCTGGTAGGGCCACCCAAGGCGGACAGGTCTGACACACACGCCGGCTAACAAGGGCTCTGGTGAAAATCCAAGGAGCGTCTGCATCGGCAACCGGCGGCTTCTGGTCGTTCCTGTCTCTGCGTCTGTGGGAATCCCGCGGCAAGCAAGAACGTTATCCGAGTAGGCCTGGGTACCCTACTTCTGTAATTTATCCCAAGAATCTTCTTCTCACAACAGGAAGAAGCCAGCTCAATCCGCCCAGGGTGAATGCCGCATCAGTACAGTACAGTAAACCGATGGACTGCCTTCAGCTCAGTCACGCCAATGATGATGTTGAGAAGGCGATACTCATCCCGAGGCACAGGCTGGTAGAGTACATCTGTCTTCTTTAAATTGGCTTCAGCCTAAAATACTTGGCAGCCTCTGTTTGCTGCAAAGCTATTTCTGTCTGGACAACAAGGGCAACATCACCAGCAAAGCAGAGGTCTCAGATAAGTTTCTCCGGGGTCTTCGTGTAGGTTTTTAATCGTCGTAGATTAAACAGGCCACGATCAAGAGGGTATCTGATGTAGACTCGGTCCACATCATTAACATTTTTCGTGGCTAGTTTGAGCAGCATACTGAAGAAGACAGTGAAGAAGGTCGGTGCAAGAACGCAAGGCTTCTTTACACCGTTTGTAATTCAGAAGGGCTCTGAGAGATCACCGCTGTGTCTAAATTGGCCACGTTGATCCTCATTCAGCTGGACGATCAGGTTTAGCCGAGACGCCCCATGATCTGCTCACTGTGTCCAATGCTTTCGTCAGCTCAATCAACGACACACGCAGCACCTTTTTTTGTTCCCGACATTTCTCTTGCAGCTGCCGGAGAACAAACACCATGTCTGTTGTGCTCCTGTTTGTTCTGAAGCCGCACTTACTCTCTGAAAGGTGCACTTCCCTGATGGAGAGTGCCAGTCGGTTCAGCAGAATCCTTGCAAGGATCTTTCCTGCGATGGAGAGCAGAGTAACCCTTCGGTATTTGGAGGGTTCAGATTTTTACACTTTGTTCGTGTACAACGCAATGAGGACTGTGTCGCGAAGATCTTGTGGTATTTTTTATTTATTTAATTAATTTTTTTAAAGAAAACATATTGGCGCAGAGAACTGATTAGGTTTGTTCCCGAGGTATTTCATTGCTTGGTGGTTTGTATCGACGCAGGAACAGAGATAAAATATTGATTTTTGTAGTAGTGAAAAACGGAGACGAAGGAAAATAAGCGTTAAATTAATAATGAAAAGTACCAATATTAAATATACGCCTGAACACACACACTTATATATATATATATATATATATATATATATATATATATATATATATATATATATATATATATATATATAATGGACAAAGTTCGACCATTATTTTAAGATAGATTTTACAATTATACGTTCTTTTTTTTAAATACAAATATTTAAGGAAATGCTATATGACGGTTCCGTATCGGATACAGGTTCGATATTTAAGCCGGTAATGTCTTTAATACTGTTTATTATAAGCCGAGCATTTACTTAAATATTTTATCTATAAAAAGAACGTATAAACGTAAAAAAAATATCTTAAAATATTTGTCAGACTTTGTCCATTTCTTATATATATATATATATATATATATATATATATATATATATATATATATATATTTCGACAATATGAAAGGAATTTACTTAAAATAAATAGACAAGACTTATTATTTAATGACACATGCTGCCTAAATATACAACACACACACACACACACACACACACACACACACACACACACACACATATATATATATATATATATATATATATATATATATATATATATTTGGTTGGATTGATGTGAATTTGTGACCCTGGGTTTCACGCTTTTGTGATCGTCAGATAAACTGATTAATTTTTTAAAATTTTGGATTTATGTAGATTGCGTGTATTGGTGTTATTATGGAAGTGGGGGGGATCGTCGTCGTGATGTCACTCATGTTAAAGCAAACATAGATGCATGTCCGTACACCCGATGAGGTACGCAGACACACATACACATTCGCTCGTCCGCCGGGGCTCATACAGACATAAACATATGTGGACAGTATGGGATTTGACATATGTATGTATATGTGTGCTGTTGTATATATACATACGCATTTGTATGTTGAAATTCAAAGATCGGAAGTGTAGCGACAATTTCTCGTAAATGTATGTCAGCAAACAGAGCATTTTTCTCTTCTTTCGCTGTATAATATTTCTTCGCATGTACATATATACGTGTGGTGGGGTCTCCCACCATTCTCCTACCACCATTACTAATCACTTCTACCAGTTTACAATAACTATTAGAAACTTACATTATCATTGCCACCAATCCCTCTACAAAATTACTATCACTTCATATCTACTATTATCAAATAAACCCGCTATAATTATTAACGTCATTTTCTCCCCACTCCTCCAGCATATTTAATACCACCATAAAAAAAAACAATAAGGAATACAAACTGCAATTTCTCCCAATTATAATAACAAATTAACCTTAAAAATTAAAAATAATAGCAATTTTTATTTATCATTATTCTACACAGGCACCACCACATGTATATACACGTCAAAAACACTTATATCCACTCCTTGTTGAAAAGGACCATCGCTACACATAAAAAGCTACGGTACCGACACCGAAATAGAATTAAAATTGTGTATGAATGTATGCGCATGGATGTGTATCTGCGCCTGAACTCGGATTGTTTATATGGGTGCGTTTGTGTGAACTAAAATGCGTATATGTGTATGTGTGTGTGTCTATACGTATGAGAACAAGCACAGAGGGAAATTCTCACTCCCACCACCAAACACTGTCAAAGAAGCAGCAAAAATAGATTTCATTTTAAAATCATAAACCAGTTTCTCTGATGATCGCAAAAGCGCGAAACCCAGGGTCACAAACTCCTATTCGTACAACTGAATATGTTAGCGCTTTCACTGATATTGAGCATTTTCTATGAACTACTACACATACAAAATAATACAGATATACACACACACGCATATATATATATATATATATATATATATATATATATATATATAGAGAGAGAGAGAGAGAGAGAGAGATAACTAGACTCGTTTCGAAAAACCCTCGAATTTTTGATTTGCTAATAATCAAATCAATCTCGAGGGAAAAAAATGTTTTAAAAAAAGAAAGAGCTACAAACATGAACTTCTGCCGACAAAAAATCGCACAGATACAGGTCTGAAGCCCAAAGAAAAAAAAACGATACGAGTAAACAACTAACTAACAAAAGCGCTCAATACAACCGTAGAGCAGACCTAGATACACCTAGTTTGTCTGGCTCACTAGGTATATATATATATATATATATATATATATATATATATATATATATATATATATATATATATATATGGCTTATCACGTAAAAACCTTTTCTCATGTCGTTCTAAAAAGCTAAGCTACGCCGATCCAGACCAATACCTAGATGAATACCGGGTTCTCTAACCTTGGATGTGTGGGTGGTGTAAGGTAGGAGAAATCGGACAACAGGGTTCGAATTCCAGTTGGATAGGTTACATTCACTTACGCGTAATTAATGTTTAGATAGATATGAATCCACGTCTGCTTTCTCCCATCTATGGATTAATTAGTAGAACTATCGTCTGAATATCATTATAATCTTCTGAAATTGTTAATACAATATTCAGTGGCAAAAAAAGAAAGAAAAATATTCATACAATCCAAAAATACGTTTCGGCTTTACATATTCTCCAAACAGTTGATTCATATTTTTCCCAAAGATATTTGCGCTACAGAGAATATAACGAACCTGACTTTTCCTCTCCAAATTATCATTCCAAGATCTCCTCTGTTATAACAACTGCACGTCTAACCATGTCCATTTTGTGTTGTTTTCTCCGTCAGGGTCAGTATAGGAATATACTCTATTATTAGCAGAATCTATCTATCTATCTATCTATCTATCTATCTATCTATCTATCTATTTCATTCTGTTCATTACTATTTCATCCTGTTTATCATCTATCTATCTATCTATCTATCTATCTATCTATCTATCTCATTCTGTTCATATCTATTTCATCCTGTTTATCTATCTATCTATCTATCTATCTATCTATCTTGTTTAGCCATATACTTATTTACAACAGTACCTGGGGATAGTTGGGCTGATTATGTTCGTGTATCATAATTACTGATATATATATATATATATCACCAAATACGATTCTAGATCAATGGCGTGTGAATGAAATGCTAAACATTGCATCTTCATTTGAACTCTCACACACACTTATACTATAACCAGTCAACACGCTTGTTTTTATATTATGCTTCGTTGTAGTAAATAAGGGAAACATCCCTGATTAGGTCTAAACTTATAAACCCATTAAGAACATGTCCCTGTATGTTATTGTCTTTTCGCTTAATGTGTTCTCATTCTAATCTCATGAGTCTGTCGAGTTTGGTAATTTCATCAATCTCTCAAACGTATCTATTAATTTGATACAAAATTCCATTTTGCAGATTATATCGAATACAAAGTGTTTTTACGATATTCCCATAATAAAAGACCCAAGAGACACTCAAAGAAGAGGGTTATCAAATCAGATTGTTTTATGGGCTTAAGAATTGTATATTATGAGGTCATGTAGGATAGATAACGGTTTGCTCTAAACTTGACCTGGGCAAGATTTTAGTGGTCGTGGAAGCATCCTCTCTGGAATTTGTCCCACAAAGCAACGGCTCTTGGGAAGAAGTGATTCCAAATCTATCGGCCAAGGCCAGGAAACATAGTGATTAGTCAGAATACCTCGTGGGCGTGGTATTTTGACAGTGAAGGGTTGTCGTTATCTGAGTTTTGGATATATGTCCAAAAGGGCGCGAATTCAATAGAAGACCACAAGAATTTTGAAACACTTCCCACATCCAGGTTCGCGAGACAAGCGAGGAGCATATGGGGAGGAACGCTAAGCCAACCAGTAACTTGAAGTCCTTCCTCCCGCCGCCTCTTAGAATTCAAGTTGGCACGTCTGTCCCTCTCGAGTAAGAAAAAGAGATCGTCTTTTGGTCAGCGTTGGGATCCAGTGGTGACATGGAACGTAACAGACGTCCGAATGGAACTTCCTTATAACCAATATAATACAAAGGGAATGGGAATGGTTGATCTCTGTGTTAAATGGCATGGCAGGTCTCAGTTGTAAATGGTCTGGACTGGTGCAATTAGGGAATATGGGTCGTTTGTTGAAATAACGTTGCTTCTATGGGAAAGGGATTGTCAGCTGGGAAATGATTCATCCCTTAAGAGGCTGCGTCAACGATTTTAACCGCTGTAGAGGCTTGAGAAGATTGGGCTACTCATATATAAGATCTGGTATCGTGTAAAGATAGAGCGTGACAGATCCTTCATGGGACGCTATAGGAAGCAGTTTTTCCAGCATCTTTAGCGAGAGAACGGATGCCTGAGTTAGACCTGAGGAGTAAGGTGAACTTGAAACCCAATAGAAGTCTAAAGTAAGGTGCCTTTTTGATACGAGCCTGTATCTAGGACCTTAGGAATATTGATGTGGGTGGTGTAATGGATAATGGAACGGAATTGTTAACCGTAGAGCCGACTTCAAATTACCGTTGCGTTTGCTATATTCACTTAAGCATAAATAACCTTATCCCCAAGCTATGGGTTAATTAGTATGACTGGTATCACTAAAATCATTATTAGTTAAATATAACAATATAAAATTATTTTCTGGCTTTAAATAACCTGAACAGGGCTGATAAGCTGTAGAAAACGAACCAGTCAATCAACAGTCTGATGAGAATTTAAAAAAATAGCATCTAGTTGGCGTTACTGCCTCGCTTGAGGTGAACTCTATTGAAATAAAAAGAATGAATAAAAATGTTTCGTTTTATCTCAAAAGTATTCCATAAGCATGTATTTAAATATTTTACTAGGGGTATCAAATTTAATAAATGCAATACGATTAAACACATCAAAGGAAAACAGCAGGAAATAATAATAAATGTTGCACTTTGATTTGTTATTCATCTAGCTATCGACGATGTCAGGATGTGACACAATACCAAAATTTTGCGTACCCTACATACGTACCTAGTGTACATATCCTGTCCCCACAAACACACTTATGTTGCTATCAAGCAACCGTTTATCTTTTTGCATTGTGGAAGGTGCTGTCAAAGAATTGGAATCTCCGGTACTATGACTAACATATAGAAACTTGAACTGCCCTAAGACAGAAACACGGTAGAAATGTGCAGAACAGATACTACGCTCTAATCCCACCCAGAAAGCCGGGAGGGGCGTACTGTTTATATTTTCCCGCGTTGATACGATTTGATAGAAAGAAAGAGGCTGCCGCAGAGTTAGATCATCCGGAACATCATAGCTTTTAAATGATGACATATACTAGAATCCGTATTAAATAGCATCCCGACGGCGGTGGAATTTGACGGAAAGAGAGTTTAATGTGGGGTGACATGCATAAAAGCCAGGAACAAAACTCTCCGGTTCTAACGGCCGCTGTCACGCTGGTGTCGTTATCCCACACTAAGGAAGGTGCTGCAGCATGGTTGGAATCCCGGGCACCAAGCATTCGTCGAAGCTTTTCCGTTTGAAAAGAGATGATGGAGAGACAGTACCCTTTGAACCCAGACCGGAGAATGACGAAAAGGCGTTTGGATATGAGGCTGAAACGAACCCATGTATAAAAGTAACAATTGTGTTGACTCAGAAATTTCAGCCTGAAGAAGACCTGAGAGTATATCAACTGAAATGCGTTCATAAATCACAAAGACGTGTAAATTAATCAGGAAAAGCAGAAACGATATCGGCCTTAACGCGCAGAAATGAAAAAGAACAAACGAAGTGAACAATAAATAAATCAATATGGCCAAAGATGCTTACCAAAAGCTAAGCAGAGTATTAAGAAACAGGAAAAAATTGTATGAACAAAAGACAATAGTATTGTACTGTTAGGTGATATCTGTCTTCCTGCATGGCAGTGAATGCTGAACAATCTCTTCAAAGATGAAGAAGTGACTTAAATAAACAGAAATGTAGTCCTACAGAAGGATGCTCAGGATACCATGGACTGAACATGTGAGTAACAACAGGGTTTTGGAGAAAATACGAACAAAAAGAACACTAAGCTTAATATCAAGAAGAGGCAGTTTATATTTCTGAGGTACGTAATGAGGAAAGATGGCTTCGAAAACCTGAGACTCACAGGACATATTGAGGGAGAGAGAAAATCAGCGCGTAACATATTTGATGAGTAAATAGGTGGTAGAACAGGGTTTGGGAGAAATAACAAAAAGAAAAAAAACTACAAGGGACAAGAAAATGTGGAGGGCCATGATCGATGATGTTCAGAACCTGAAGGGAACGGCATATAAAAGAAAGATAAAAGTATGAGCGTTTCTTATTAGAAATCCAGACAAAGTGATGCAATTTGTTATGCAGCTCCTGTATTTGGCCGAGTGTCATTTGTACAATCTGAAGCGGCTGTCTGTTTTCGAAAGATTCTCCAAATAACCTCGAAAACAAAGACAACACAATCAGATAGCCAAGCAGCTACATGTTAATTAGTACAATTTTTGTTCTTTAACTTTGCGTCTCAACATCTCAATCTACTGATCTACTTGCTATCGAATTCGCTTCGCTTCTCTGCTTTAGACACAATAACTAGAGGCGCGTGGAAAAGCAGGCATAATGTCACTGCGTGTGAAGGAATACGGTACTTTTGTAGACAACATTATGTACTCGCATATATATATATATATATATATATATATATATATATATTTTTATATATGTCTTTAAAACCCATTAATTTTTTAAAAGTTACTCCAAAATTCGCTTGAAGATGAAATGGAACTAATGCTTTTAATTTAATTGCAAAATTAAATTCGGGACTTTTTTTAGCTTCTATTTTTGAAACATGGTTAGAACTGTGTAGCGGAAAAAACATATTTTAAATCAATTAATTTATAATATTAATGCTCTGTAAATTTACATTGAGCACTATTTTGTAAAAATAAAAATATTTATAAGAACACTGGATTATATATCTTACTGTTCGTTCTTTTTATTTATATACATATATTTATATATATATATATTTTTCTATGCCGAAGTTCTGATTATTTTTCAAATTCGGCCTATGTTTCGTTCAGCGTGTAAAGACGTTCTCCCTCCCCATCAAATTAATTCAATTATTTACAAATACGTTTGTAGTTGCGGAGCCGACTACATAGGGAGAACAACTCAACGCTTAGACATGAGAATGAAACAAAACGTTCCTACAAAAATTAGAAAACACACCCTGCCATTGAATGGACTCGTCCCGAACACCTATAGTTCCGCCATATGCGAACACCTATTTAAAGAACAGAGATTGTACAGCCAAATTTCGTGTTGACTGGTTCAGTCTGAAGTCGGATGTCTGGCTGACCGGCTGATCGGTTGATCAGTTGAACTCTCCGCCTTCGGGCGGGGAGGAACACGAACGAGTCTACGCCGAAGGGCGAGGTCTCTTTCGGGGAGGTAAACCGACCCTGAACCCGTTTATACGGTTCAAAGGGCATATTTTTGGCCGAGCCCATGGAAGATCCCACGTTAAACCGGCCTTGTGCCACATGATGCCCCCGTGGGGTGGGGTGACTAAATAATAGTGTTGACTGGTTCACCGTGTTGTCCCGGTCTCACTCCTTATTTCATCTAAAGATTATGGGGGCACTTTACATCGGGTCCCGTAAGCCTTCTTTGTGTAAACAACGTGAGTGTTTGTTGGGGCTCGATGTCATTTGTCTCTAGTTCCTTTTGCTATTTTTTTTCTCTTCCACAACTTCCTTTTATTGTACATTTATCTGTGTTAATTTTAAATTAAATCTCCCGTTGAAGCCTGACGAGCGGGAGCGAAACCGGTTGCTACGCCCGTTTTTAATATGTCTCGTAATATTAAGTTTTATACTTTTATTTCGATCATTAAATTTTGTACCTACAAAAATATCTTTTATATATATATATATATATATATATATATATATATATATATATATATATATATATTGTGTGTGTATTTAGGCAGCATTTTTCATTCATACATGTTTCATTAAATAATATAGACAAGTTTTGTCTATTTATTTTATGTAAATTCTTTTCATAAGATCTGA